GGGGGGGGCTGCTGCTTTATTTTTCCAATTATTGCTCAGGCACCGCTCCTTTTTATGTGCTGCTGTTTCACCGTCATGGACTTTCTCTGTGGGCTACAGCGAGAAAAAGACCTCACAGGAGGGATCGGCGCCTCACTGGTGCGCCCCAAATTGCTTCCCGTGGGATCCTCTCCCTTCCCGGCGGGTAAAGGGAGGGCAGAGCGCTGCAGCCAGGATGGGTGCCGCAGGGTTGGGTGGTCTGAACGAGTGCCAAGCGCAAAGTTCCTGCCAGGGACAACTGCCTGCTTGGTAACACCATTAGTTCTGCAAATAAGAATTGTCTACAGTCTCATAAACAAATTATACTTGGGCCTGGCTGGCTGGCACATTTCTACTATGGAAATTATTTTGGTTAGAGAGAAAATGTGTCTCTATGTAAAACATTTTTGACTTAATTAAGTTGTTAAGCTTGTACAATTCCTGATATGGCCAAAACTGTACCCGTACGAGTCGCCTCCCTTTCGGGCGAGAGCTGACGTACTGCTATCAGTGCTGGAACCGAGCTTTCGCTCGACTGCTGTCATTTATTTAGTATATCCTCATCTGTGCCAACAATTACAGTTCCAGATGGGTCTCGTGGAGCTGGGCCTTCCTGGTCGCATCGTAGTATTTCTTACTGTTTTGCTGCTGTGATTACTATTTTTACCATTTTAAGAACTGCAAAGTAATTGCGTTGAGTTTTTGAGCTTGTTGCATCTTGCTGATCTAATATTCCAAGTAACATGGGTAGGAGTATGATGGTTTCAGGTCTTAGCGTTGATTTGCAAGGCAGGTGCCCTATAAAATGTTTTCCCGTAAGGGATATGTTGCTTTCTGCCAACAGAATGAGGTCTTTCAGATGCGGGGAAGCTGTAGCTCAGACCCCAGGATGTGGAGGGGAGGATTTTGCAGATCAGAGCACTAGAGGGCAGTCCTGACCGCTGCAATGCTAAAAAAGCATTTTTTTTAAAGCTGTGCGAGGGCTAAACGGTACCAAAGGTTTTGTAGCCTGTCTGTAAGGCGTCACATAGCTCTGCAGAAATATTGGTTGTTGGAAATAAGTACAGAGTGACCTCCTTGTTTTCTTGCAGGTCTACCATGTCTCTTCTGACAGCTACGAGACGCAAAACCAGCACTATGGAAGGAGCTTGACAAAGGAGACAGTAAAGGATGGTAAGGGAATTTGTATGTCGGAATCTGGTGCTCTTAGGATATTTTTCATTTATTTACTTATTTCGAGAACTGTATGGAAACAGTAGTCAGTGTGTTCCCATTTTCAAAGTGCCTTTTTCGCCTCTTGCCAGATGGGTCTTTAGCAGTTTCCTGTATCATTTGAACTACCTCTCGATCCTAAATTAAGTTTGCAGTTGGCTTGAGCAGCGGTCTAGTCTACAGGAATTTCCTCATCACGTGTCTTTCGCTACTAATAAGGGGGTGATAGTGGTAGAATTCAATTTCTTTGCAGCTTTGAGACTGTAATGAAATAGAACACTTCCCAAAAGTATTAAATGTTTTTGTAATAGATACATGTTTATCCCTAGTTGTCTTCTGTATTAGAAAGCTACTGTCAGTGCATCTTCCAGTTAAAGTGACCTCAGTTGAAGTTAATCCATGTGTTGCTCTACATAAACAAGGAATAAAAATGCTACCATCGTACGCCTGTTTGGCGATAACTATTTCAAACGAGTTATTAACTGATGTCTGTTCGTCTGTCCCCCACCGAGAGACGGAAGGACACGTGCACAAACACACCCTTCCCCAGAGCTGGCGCTAACTTGTCAGCTGTCACTCGTGATAAAGAGCTGCTTGAGCTTCTTTATCCCTGGAGAATTTAATGGGTCCCTGCCCGGAACTGTCCAGACGCTTGCTAAAATGACATGGGGAGCAGGAACCGTGTTCGTCTACTGTTTGATTGCTGTGTTGATTAGTTCATTTTCTTCACAATCTGAGCCCAGTCTGTGGTGTTACACAGCCGGCCTTATACAGGTGTGGTGACTGAAGGTATCAGAGTTCCTCGGTTCACTTCTGATTTAGTTAAGAATTGCCTGAAAGGAGCCTATGTGAGTGCTGTCTGTTTCTTCAAATCAAGAACTATTCGCATCCTGAAAAAAATGAAAAATGTTTGATTTCTTTTCAGAGGTGAAAATAATCCCCAAATGTGTCTATTTCTTGCAGGCATCTCCAAGTTTTTCCACAATGGGTACTGCTTGAGAAAAGATGCAATAGCTGCCAGCATTCAGAAGATTGAAAAAATTTTGGAGTGGTTTGAGGGCCAGAAGCAACTCAACTTTTATGCAAGCTCGTTGCTGTTTGTTTACGAAGGTTCGTGTCAGGCAACAACCGTGCGGTTGAGCGATGTCACCTTGGCAGAGAAGAGAGGAATGCCCAAAGGACTGTTATCAGGTGGAGACATACTGGAGTATAATAATAATATTCATGTCATAAATTCTACAGAGAACGGAAAAATTGAGGCCTCTGTAAGTAAAGGCTTGTCCAAATTTTATGCACTTCACAAAAAGGCATACTCCAAGAGGCACCACAGTCAACTCTCACTAAAAGTTGAAAACTTGGAGCAAGACAACGTGTGGAAAAGCAGCACGTGCATTACACAGGAGCACCTGAACGGAAACGTTATACCCCAACTGGAAAAAGTTTTCTGTCACATGCCAGCAGAGATCAAGGAAAGCGCAAACGTAGAAGTCCGCATGATAGATTTTGCTCATGTGTTTCCTAGCAACACAAAGGATGAGGGCTACATTTATGGTCTGAAGAATTTAATCACAGTACTTCAAAATATTTTGGATAACTAAATTCTTTGCTATGGTTTTTACTGGGGGCCAATGATAAAGAAGAGCAACAACATGAAGAATTTCTGCACTTGTAATGCTGTATAACTGGGTTTGTATTGTTCTATATTTTATTTGTCTTTGTACTTTTGGTAGAAGGGTTTAACTTTTTATAATCTCACTCAGGAAAATAATTGATAGCTAATTAGGGAGTGTGAAAGGATGAAGATACTTGAGACTAAGCAGGATAGGTAAATTAGTAGGATGAAACGTGTATGGTTGGCTTAAATCCAAGGAGTACCGTTTGTACGATAAGCAAGGGTTACGTTAGTTCCCATAACGACTTTAACGTAGACAACATTTGCCCACTTAGCCTTGCCGCTGAGCCGTATCGTATCTCCATTAACAGGTTTTTAGGAAATGGACTGAAAGTTATGAAGTGCAGGATTGATGTCCTCAGCACTGCCCTCTTGTGTTTACTGTATTGAAATAACTGGAGTTAACCCTACTTGGAGAGAAATCCTGGTTGGAGTCAGTAGTCTAACCTGGAAGCCAGTGTATCAAAAAGTGCTTTTCGATGTCTCGGGGCGATATTGCTGTTATTTCAACACTGGTGTGGGCGCTTCCCCTCTTGGTGGTTGTCCGTGGCCGCCGTCCACCACAGACAAGCTACGACATAATTTGTGTTGAGGTGCTAAGAAAATGCTGGAGTAAAATGCCATAACAGGCTTAAACTGCACAACTGTTAGAGAAACTGTTTGTTCCTAAGGAAGAGTAAAGGAATGCAAACGCAAGATGGTCCAGGAACTAATTTGGTTTAGGAGATTAAGTCAATCTGTTAATGAAGTGTCTGATGTTGTGACTAAGGGAAATGCCTCGCTCCTTTGTTCCGATGGCCCTTCTCCAAAAACATTGCTTTTAAAAGCAAACTAATTGAATGGGGAAACAAAGCATTTTGAGTAAGCATACAGAGATTTCCTCTAGCCGTTTGCCGCTTGTATTTTTGCAACAAGCGTTGCACATTTCCACGGCTGGGGAGCACCAACTGGAAACGACGAGCAATACAGGGGAAGGACCCTTTCCTGTGAAGATCCAGCTCGGTCCTGGAGCAACCAGACCAGACGTACCTCCAGTTGTCGCAGTGGAGTTGTGGCTCTCTTACCCTGGGCTAACGCCGCCTCTTGTTTGGGTTTTGGTTTGGTTTTTTTTTTTTTTTTTTTCTTTTTAATGACACACAGGCAAGCTGTGTAATTCGAAAGTTGTCCCGCTTCCTTCTTTTTCACAGGAAAAATTAAAGCCTTCATATGGCATATCTGAGATCAGGATGATGTGTCCAAGGCGTTTTTGGTGTGTCGCTCCTGTACGCGGTGTCTGTGGCTCTCCTACCATGCATGTATAGTCAGCTATACAAAAAGTCGGGACGGGTGAGTCTCGCCATCCGTAGAGCAAGGTTTTAATGCTTTAAGCAAGCCCCAGAAGTGAAACTTCCTAGAACGGATTTGGTCATTGGGAACGTACATCTTTTACACGTGGACTTAATGTGACACCGTGGCCTTGCTGCTCTCTGTATGATGTTCTGCACTATGCACTCATTTGTGTACGCGTCTTTGCAAGTTCTCGATTTGCCATGTGTTTTCTATATCAGAAAGAGATAAATACTTTTTCAAGCAAATACGCTGTTTTAAATAAAGTTGAAATTTTAGCTCTTTGAGAACCTGGGTTAATTGGAAGAAACAGGGTATTATGTGTAGGACTGCTTCAACTTTAGAGCTAATATTGGCCAATACATTCAAGAATGAAACCAATCTGTTAGTAACATAATGTTTTTGAAGCATGGGAAAAGACGCTTGCAGGAGGGGCAGTATCATTTTGCTGAAAATTTTATGCAAATTATGGTAAAGGCTGAGGGGAAAATATCAGGAAGAGAAAGTTTGGTTTTTTTTTTTCTACCTGGTATTTCCACTGCATCATGTAGTTAATATATTCCCAACTCTCTGTGAACTAATTTAAGCCATATTCTAGCAAGAGTTTGTGGTTTTGTTAGCCGTGACGCTGGTTTCTCTGTTACGATTTTGTTGTTCTACCCCGTAAATAGGCAACACTAGGGTAGTCTAGGCTGGTAGGGGCCTTGTATGATAAACTCACAATGTTTTATAGAAAATACCATGGGGGGGGAACATTTATACATCTGAATTTTTGTCCTCTGTAATTCATCTCTTCTGGATTTTAATCCATTTTGTGTCGGAGAAATCAGACATCTGCCTCAAGTTAGTTATTGGAAAACGATCTGTATGCTCTTAGTATAAGCGCATTCTCCTGTCTCTGCTTTAAGATATACGTCTTCAGTGTGTGAATGCTCTTTAAGTATTGATTGTTGTGTTGACTATGGCAGTGTTTGTAATGCACCTGGAATATTGTTAAACTGTCAGAATATTTTGAATAAAAAAAAAATAAAATAATTTTATCATGGTTTTTTACCGGTAGTTATTATGGATGTATTTCTGTTAATTTAAAATGTAGCTTGAGAGGTAACAGTATTTTTAATTGGAAGTTGTGTAAAGCAAGCTTGCTGTAGAGGTGTTTTGGCATAGTACCAGCTGGGAATTTAAGCCTGCAAAGGCGTTACCTTCACGTTGTCCTTGCACACTTTAGATTTGGCGTTCGTAGCGTCTTGTGTCTGATCAGATTGTTTTCAGTTATAGTTGGAGACGTGATGACGGAAATCACTGAACAGACGACAGAACTAATTAGAAAATGAGGAGGGAGACAGCGGTCACTAACGCGGGCGTTGCCATCCATCTCCCTCCCTCCCAGCGATGCCTCTCCTGTTCTCTGTACGAAGGACACTTTAGATTTGGCGTTCGTAGCATCTTGTGTCTGATCAGATTGTTTTCAGTTATAGTTGGAGACGTGATGACGGAAATCACTGAACAGACGACAGAACTAATTAGAAAATGAGGAGGGAGACAGCGGTCACTAACGCGGGCGTTGCCATCCATCTCCCTCCCTCCCAGCGATGCCTCTCCTGTTCTCTGTACGAAGCGTACAGGACGGGTGACAGTGACGTGGAAATCTTTACGGAAACGGTAACAAGGCTCCTAGGTATTTCTGTCCCGTAAAACTGACAGCAGGTCCCTTCCCCGGACTGGTGTGGTAGATCTGAGGGCTGTTGTCGTTGGGGAAACCCGTCGGGTTTGATTCTGAGCAATAAGAGTTTGATTTAGCGGAATCGATTGCCAAAAGGGAGGATTCGTGGAAGCATTGTCGTTCATGTACCCTCTGAGAATATACTTTTCTGAAGACTTTCTACCTAGGGGATTGTGAGAATTGCGTATAGCCTTACCTAATGAGAGCTTGAATTGTATAAAGTTTTATAAAAAAGCATTTACATATATGGTATTTTTGGATATGGGTGGAATTTGTTGCATAAATTACATTGGAAATTATTATACCGTTATGAGATGTCTAAAGTATTTTAATCAAATCATTTTATGAACTAAACCAGAGACTTTACGTACAGTTGCGATTCACATGAAACTTGTACCGTTTTCCATTTTTTTTTTTCTGTAGTAATGCATAGTCAAGACCATTCTTGTCCATAACCCTACAGTTTCATGGAGAACTTTTAAAGTACTCAGTAGATTAGGAAATCACTAATTCCCTTTAGTTTGATTAACAGAGCACATACATTCTTAAAATACTTCAGCGCCCATGATATTTTAAGTAACGTTAGTGTATTATACATCTGGAGCCCCAGTAAAACTTCCTCACCTGCAGAGAGCTCCTGCTGATCTGAGTCTGGATTACGCAGCTTTTAAAACGGGCATTTTTGCGAAGGGGAGGCATCGCCTGTGCTGGCCCTGGCAGGGCGGGGGTGTTTACAGCCTGAACTTAAAATCATTTATTTTCTCACTTCATGCTGTGAAGTACCATCAAGTTATAGGAAGACAGTGGAAGGATAGAGACTCACATCCATATCTGCTGTTTAAAGTTATGATTAGTTGTTCATCCTCCCTCCTAATTATTTTTTTTCCCCCTCCAAGTAAGATTTCCTCCTGAGTGCCTTCAGCCCTTGCCACTGGTAACCTTCTGCAGCATCACTGTGGAATGCTTTAAAATGAAATTTTTATTTGCTAAAAAACTTAACGCCCCGTAACTGCTCTTAAAGTGCAGGTATTGAAAAACACCATCAAAATGCCTCAAATACTGTGGGAAATCCTATTTCCTTTTTGCACTCTTCTCCCTGCAAGAGTAGGAGTGGAACGTTAGCGGAGAGCATGCTTCGGTGGGAGACCGGATTGTAGGTTTTACGAAACATCTTTATCTGTGTTTTGAAGAGGACGTTTGGGGGGCAAGGTGAGTGACAGCCGAGCTGCCTGAAGTTTTCTTACTGCAGTTAGTATTGAGGTTTGGGTTTAAGAAGGTAGCATAGCGGGAAGCGGTGGAAGTTCATCAGGAGCCCCGAGCAGGACGTCTGGTCAGTTCTGCAGTGCCGGTGATGGATAGAGAGGATACCTATGGCTACAGGTAAGACCCAAAGACTGCAAGTCATCGGGTGTCTTGCAGGGAGAACACGCCACGCGTATTCGAGTTCCAGCAGACCATTGTAGGAAGTTCCCTGTGAAGCACGTTCCTCTCCATAGCCACGGGCCGAACGCTGCCCATTTTCCACGTTCACGGCGCTCTGTAAATGAAAGCTGCAGAGCAGGCTGTCATCCAAGGGACAAACGTAACTGTTAGAGCTGCGTTTGAAAGGGGAAATATGGGAAAAGCTAAGGATTCTACAGCAGAAACCACACTTCAAGAAGTTACTTTTACTGTCGTCTTGTTTAGGGGAGATGGGCCCCGTGTATTTGGAGTTTAATTTGTTACATGATACTCAACAGCAAATAGCCAGAACAAAGGTGCTTTACAACCACCTTAGTCTGAATCGTGTGCATTGGTTCAAAGAGGTTTTTTTTTCAAAATAAGTGACCTATGAAGTAACTTCCAAATATGATGTGTGTTGCACCTGACTATAAATGAAACCAGAGTGCACAAAGGCACTTTAATACTCTGGGAACTGTAC